TTAAAGCTTTGAGAAGCGAGAAGAAGCTTGGTTAGTGTTTTGGAGTCGAATATGACTTGATGTCATGTGTATGATTGAGTATAACAACTTAAACCGTAACCCGATCTTAAAAGCCTAAGTAGTGTTTCCTTGTTAGAAGATACAAAGCCAAAGACTCATATGGACTTTGGCCACACCATGAAAGCTTTGAGAAGCAAGAAGAAGCTTGGTTAGTGTTTTGGAGTCGAATAAGACTTGATGTCATGTATATGATGAGTATAAGAACTTAAACCGCACCCGGATCTTATGAATTGTATCCTTGTTAGAAGACACAAAGTCAAAGACTCATACGGACTTCGAATACACCATCAAAGCTTTGAGAAGCGAGAAGAAGCTTGGTTAGTGTTTTGGAGTCGAATATGACTTGATGTCATGTGTATGATTGAGTATAAGAATTTAAACCGCAACCTGATCTTAAAAGCCTATGTAGTGTTTCCTTGTTAGAAGATACAAAGCCAAAGACTCATACGGACTTTGGCTACACCGTGAAAGCTTTGAGAAGCTATAAGAAGCTTGGTTTGTGTTTTGGAGTCGAATATGACTTGATGTCATGTATATGATTGAGTATAAGAACTTAAACCGCAACCCGATCTTAATAGCCTAAGTAGTGTATCCTTCTTAGAAGACACAAAGCCAAAGACTCATATAGACTTTGGCTACACCATGAAAGCTTTGAGAAGCAAGAAGAAGGTTGGTTAGTTTTTTGGAGTCGAATATGACTTGATGTCATGTGTATGATTGAGTATAACAACTTAAACCGTAACCCGATCTTAAAGGCGTAAGAATTGTATCTTTGTTAGAAGACACAAAGCCAAAGACTCATACGGACTTTGGCTACACCATAAAAGCTTTAAGAAGCAAGAAGAAGCTTGGTTAGTGCTTTGGAGTCGAATATGATTTGATGTCATGTGTATGGTTGAGTATAAGAACTTAAACCGCAACCCGATCTTAAAGGCGTAAGAATTGTATCCTAGTTAGAAGACACAAAGCCAAAGACTCATACAGACTTTAGCTACACCATGAAAGCTTTGAGAAGCTAGAAGAAGCTTGGTTAGTGTTTTGGAGTCGAATATGACTTGATGTCATGTGTATGATTGAATATAAGAACTTAAACCGCAACCGGATCTTAAAGGCGTAAGAATTGTATCCTTGTTAGAAGACGAAAAGCCAAAGATTCATACGGACTCTGGCTACACCATGAAAGCTTTGAGAAGCAAGAAGAAGGTTGGTTAGTGATTTGGAGTCGATTATGAGTTGATGTCATGTGTATGATTGAGTATAACAACTTAAACCCCAACCTGATCTTAAAAGCCTAAGTAGTGTTTCCTTGTTAGAAGACACAAAGCCAAAGACTCATATGGACTTTGGCTACACCATGAAAGCTTTGAGAAGCAAGAAGAAGCTTGGTTAGTCTTTTGGAGTCGAATAAGACTTGATGTCATGTGTATGATTGAGTACAAGAATTTAAACCGCACCCGGATCTTAAAGGCGTAAGAATTGCATCCTTGTTAGAAGACACAAAGACAAAGACTCATACGGACTTCGACTACACCATCAAAGCTTTGAGAAGCGAGAAGAATCTTGGTTAGTGTTTTGGAGTCGAATATGACTTGATGTCATGTGTATGATTGAGTATAAGAACTTAAACCGCAACCTGATCTTAAAAGCCGATGTAGTGTTTCCTTGTTAGAAGACACAAAGCCAAACACTCATACGGACTTTAGCTACACCATGAAATCTTTGAGAAGCAAGGAAAAGCTTGGTTAGTGTTTTGGAGTCGAATATGACTTGATGTCATGTGTATGATTGAGTATAAGAACTTAAACTGCAACCCGATCATAAAAGCCTAAGTAGTGTTTCCTTGTTAGAAGACACAAAGCCAAAGACTCATATGGACTTTGGCTACACCATGAAAGCTTTGAGAAGCAAGAAGAAGCTTGGTTAGTGTTTTAGAGTCGACTAAGACTTGATGTCATGTGTATGATTGAGTATAAGAATTTAAACCGCACCCGGATCTTAAAGGCGTAAGAATTGTATCCTTTTTAGAAGACACAAAGACAAAGACTCATACGGACTTCGACAACACCATCAAAGCTTTGAGAAGCGAGAAGAAGATTGGTTAGTGTTTTGGAGTCGAATATGACTTGATGTCATGTGTATGATTGAGGATAAGAACTTAAACCGCAACCTGATCTTAAAAGCCTATGTAGTGTTTCCTTGTTAGAAGACACAAAGCCAAAGACTCATACGGAGTTTAGCTACACCATGAAAGTTTTGAGAAGCAAGAAGAAGCTGGGTTAGTGTTTGGAGTCGAATATGACTTGATGTCATGTGTATGATTGAGTATAAGAACTTAAACTGCAACCCGATCTTAAAAGCCTAAGTAGTGTTTCCTTGTTAGAAGATACAAAGCCAAAGACTCATACGGAGTTTGGCTACACCATGAAAGCTTTGAGAAGTTAGAAGAAGCTTGGTTAGTGTTTTGGAGTCGAATATGACTTGATGTCATG